TAAAAATAGAGATAGGAGCTATAACCCGATAGAAAGAAAAATAAAGAGTTAAATCTAGCTCCAAAAGCACCTAAATGGCAACACGGGCGGGACGTACTTGCCGCAATAATAAGGGAGAGGCCGAAATACGCGAGGGCGAAGAGCTAAAAATGCTGGCCGACGGGAAAAATGCCAGAAAATGTTATCAGAGAATTAGGAGACTTACTGAAGGTTTCAAGACCAGGGCAAACTCCAGAACAACCATGGCGGCCTAGAGACTGATGTCCAGAACGTATTTAAACTGTGAAAGGAACACTTTTCCACCCTGTTGAATGGCAGCAGCACTGAAAGTGGAGAAGACGAACCCGAGCTCCCAGTCGATGACGATGGAGTCGATGTCCCACCGCCTGATTATGACGAGGTACGAATAGCGATTACGCGGCTAAAAAACAACAAAGCTGCTGGAGCTGAAGGCCTGCCAGCCGACCTATTCAAGTACGGCGGCGGGGAGTTGATAATATGCATACATCACCTTTTATGCAGAATATGGTCAGATGAGCGCATGCCCGACGACTGTAATTTAAGTGTGCTCTGCCCAATCTACAAGAAAGGCGATCCAGCCATACGCGGNAGCACTGAAAGTGGAGAAGACGAACCCGAGCTCCCAGTCGATGACGATGGAGTCGATGTCCCACCGCCTGATTATGACGAGGTACGAATAGCGATTACGCGGCTAAAAAACAACAAAGCTGCTGGAGCTGAAGGCCTGCCAGCCGACCTATTCAAGTACGGCGGCGGGGAGTTGATAATATGCATACATCACCTCTTATGCAGAATATGGTCAGATGAGCGCATGCCCGACGACTGAAATTTAAGTGTGCTCTGCCCAATCTACAAGAAAGGCGATCCAGCCATACGCGCCAACTACCGCGGATCAGCTTTCTAAGCATAGATTACAAGGTCTTATCGAGCATATCGTGTGAAAACTTAAGCCCACCGTCAACGAACGGATTGGGACTTATCAGTGTGGTTTCCGACCTGGCAAATCCACCATAGATGAAATATTCACAATACGTCAATTCTTGTAAAGGACCCGCTAGAAAAGGATCGATACTCACCACCTATTTGCCGACTTTAACGCCGCTTTAGACAGCACTAAAAGGAGCTGCCTAAATGCCGCAATGCCTGAATTTGGCCTCCCAGCCAAACTGATACGGCTGTGTAAAACGACTTTGAGCAATACCACCAGCTCCGTCAGAATTGGGAAAACTTCTCCGATCCGTGCGCCACCAGACGTGGTTTCAGACAGGGCGACTCCCTTTCAAGTGACTTCTTTAATTTGATATTGGAGAAGATAATAAGAGCTGCAGCACCGCTCAGGAACAATTTACTACAAGAGCGTGCAATTACTGGCTTATGCCGATGACATCGACATCATCGGTAACAAAAACCGCGAAGTCTGTTCTGCCTTTTCCAAGTTGGATAAGGAAGAAAAGCGAATGTATATGGTGGTAAACGAGGATCAGTCGAAGTATCTCCTGTCATCAAACAAACTGTCAGCACATGCGCGGCTTGGCACCCACTTCACTGTTGACAGTTATAATTTCGAGAAGGTAGAAAATTTTGTTTACTTGGGAAGCAGCAGTAACACCGATAATAATGCCAGCATGGAAATCCAGCGCAGAATCACTCTTGCCAACAAGTATTTCTTTGGACTAAGCAGGTAATTCAGGAGTAAGGTCCTCTCTCGACATACGAAAACCACACTCTGTAAGTCACTCATCATGCCCGTGTTGCTATATGGCGCAGAAGCATGGACAATGACAACATCCGATGAGGCGGCTCTTGGAGTATTCGAGAGAAAGATTTTGCGAAAGATTTACGGGCCTTTGCGCGTTGGCGACGGCGAGTACCGCAGACGATGGAACAGTGAGCTGTATCAGCTTTACAACTACATGGACATAGTGCATAGTTCCGCTCCAGCTCTGAAAGTATTCAACTCGGAACTCGCTGGTGGTAGCAGAGGAAGAAGGAGGCCGCCACTGAGGTGGAAAGACCATGTGGAGAAGGATATTTCCAATTGTCGTCAGTTGGCACAGAAAAGAAATTACTGGCGTGCTTTGTTGAACTCGGCCAAATCATAACATTTAAACTATAGCATCCCTTTCTATTATAGTATAAATGCTGGTTTTGACAAGGTGCAATGATACGCACATGCGTATCGTCAATACATCTCACAGCGCTCGGAACGCTGTGCTTCTGAAAAAATTGTAGCGATATTTGCCGTCTTTCTTCAGTCTTACATACTTTGATCCACTTTGGACATAAATGAGTTTCGAAAACTTCCAGAACTTCTTCGAGAACTTTGCGGCAGGTTGATTGAGCCAGAGAGACGTCTACATCTTTCCCGATTCCTGTTTGGTATCCACCTTCAGTAAAGAAGCGTACAGATGCGCTATGTTTAATAATAGCCGAAACACCAAAATGCTTTTTCCTTTCCCGCGTGTGCGACACCAGGACGTCTAGTAAATACTGGAAAGCAACTTTATTTACTCTATAGTAATTCTTAAATCTCGAGCGGATTTGACTTATAGCGCAAATGTCTCCTTACAGCTCTTTGTGCCTGAATGAATATGCTCCACAAATTCAGCTGCTTCTTCCTCTGCAACCATTGGCAAAGCTATAGTGTGCATTGTTCTGGACTTTGTTCCTGTTTTTTCACAAATATTTAAACTTTTACTGAAAATAAAAAACCTTTTCAAATAATTTGCACCCGCGAGAACTGTCAAAAATGTATGAAATAACTGTTTCAAAGTTCGAATTTCCTACTACCGAATTTTCGATGAAAATGAACTTCCCGAATGTTTAGAATTGGAGAATTTTTTTTCGAGAAAAATAAAATTCTCAAGAAGAGAACTCCCGGGAATATTTAGAATCAGGCTGAAAATGTACATCAATATTTTCAGCTTGTAAATGTAGAACGTAGACAACCGAAGTAAGAGATCAATGCGTTGATCTCTTATCTACATATGTACTGTAAACAAAAGTAAGCACACATAAATACACATACAAAATACACGCATTAGAAATCGCATTAAGTACCCCTGCAAAACTGTACTATACTAGTACAGAACCACGCTACGTTGTAACCAACACTAGTAACTAAAATGGTCCAAATATATGGAGAAAATATGGTTACATTAACATTGCGATGTCATTGGACCTGACCACTTCTGGGTCCACCTAGACAACTACTCCTTTTCGACCATGGCGCATTCGGCAACCGATTCATATTGCCGATGGGCCACGAAGAGGCGGTGTTCAACACACATATCAGTTTTTTACGTTTGACGTGGTCCAGGTTAGTATAATAAGTTAGTAGTATGCAACCTGGTCCAGTGAACCACCTGGTCCTCAAATTCTTGCAGAGTACCTAAACACTAATTGCATGTGTGTAGCCGACGTACATGCAAATAATAAAAAAAATATCAAAAGACCAATACGCCGGTTTCTTATCTAATGTAAATATTCACACATACATATGAAAACAACTATGTACACATATTTATGTACACAAACGTATATAGTTAGTTAAGAAAATTAGAATTAGAAAATATATAAAAGGAGAAAATGTTCAATACAAAAATCAGAATCAATACAGAATTCTCACCAAGTACAACTCTTGCTTCAAGTTTGTACAATAGTCTTTGATGAGACTTGTTAACATCGAAGAAAGAATTTTGTGTATCAGGCTTCATTGACGCGTCCAATGATTTTTTTTCTTCGTATGCATGTTTTTTTTTGAAAAATTAAAATTACACGAAAATTTATAGGTTTTGTAGCACGGATAATTCTACTTTGATCTTGGTCAAATTTAGGATCTATGAAGTTCTTCACGCTTAGAAACTATATTCCGGTTCGTTAATCCCAAACTCTATTGGTAACAAGCATTTTTTAAGCAAAAAACGGAACCGACTACAATTGTCATAGAAAAATTTAAGATTATCGTTAATTTCTTCACGATCCAATTAGCCGATCTAATTAGTATGGCACTACTTTTTCCGATGAAAAAAGAATTATCGAAATCGGTTAACGTGGTCCAAAGTTATGCGGTAACATACATAAAAAAAAAATAATAATAAAATAAAAATATTCCGACGAACTGATAACCTCCACCTTTGTTTGAAGTGTGTTAAAAATCAATGTATATATATATATATATATGAACTATTCAAGAAAAACACCATTAATTTCCAGGGCTTCGGAGCAAAGGATTTTTTTTCATCGCTCCGCTCCGGTATTTTATCTCGCTCCGAGCTCCGCTCCCACTCGCAATAAAATTTTTTTTTACTTATTTATGCAATTACATACTTAATTATCGAGCCCTAACCACCAAAAAAATTAACCTTTTTCCGGGCAGGATTCCGTATATGTACAAATACATGTACTTTAATGGGTTGACATAAATAGATATATATGTATGATCCCAATATATTTTGTCTTGCAATTAATTTTCGTTCAATACACTTATTTTCTGCACTTCGCAAATGTTTTTTCATCCGAAAAAAAAAACAAAATTTAAGTCGTTTTCTGTTCGTTTCCGGGTAGGAAAATCGCACTTTTGAAACGTTTTTGGATACGTAAATGAATGAAAATTGTGGTTATTTTCTGTTCGTTTCCGGATATGTAAAATTGCACGAGGCTGCACTATCGGCAAAATTAACGTATCTCTGCTGGTTGGGAAGTCATTGGTTTTTCATCGCCGTTCAAATCGACGTGGCAATTATCCCTGACTGCTGCGCATTGTGCGGTGAACAGTATTTCCAAGCAAAAATAAAATGACAATTTATTCAAGACGATTGTTTTCAGTGACAAAAAAAAAAAATTAAGTAAATTTAAATTCCTTTAAGGAGCTAAGGAGCAAATGAATTTTTTAGCTCTTTGCTCCAGCCAAAATCCTTTGCTCCTTTGCTTCGCTCCGAAACTCTGTTAATATCGATACAATAAATAACGATACGCACCATTGAAGAAGAGTGTAATAACCATGAAAATGAAGGAAAAGTTAATCAACACCATTTTGTCATAAAGTTTTCACCCGCACTAATTTTCAAATAGTAGATCGAAACAAGTTTAGCCGCTTGACAAAACGATACTGTGTGCTGTTAGCCGAACGTTCGTTTATTTATAATATTTTAATTTTTGAGTTCGTTTCATTCGTCTAGCAGCAGCAGCATTCAAATGATCTTAAAAAAAAAAAAAACAACGCGATATTCGGAATAACTCACGCCCTGTGCTCAGCCCAGGGATGGACAATCTAAATTTCAAATTGTACCTAATTTGACAATAGAATTGTACAATTTTGCTGTCAAGTGTACCTAAAAAGTAGCTCGCAAGTCGGAGTTCTAATGCTCCCACTGTCTAGCATTGTACTATACCAAAAAATTGTTCTTATTTGGAAATCAAAAAATATTTAGGGGTCGCTCAAAGCACTCAAAGTTTTCCATTTATTTTATATGGGGGAAAACATGTTTTCGTAGAAATTGTATAGACATTTTGAAAATCAATATTTTTCGATCGGGAAACTTTGTTGTTGTTAACTATTTCTTATAGGACCCCTAAATCCCTCAAAAAATACAATTGGGGGGACCCATAAAAAATCGCTATTATTGGAAGTGGTAAAATTAACAATTGGGTATTATGATTGGCAGTGTCTTAAAGAGAAGCAACAATTTCCGATCAAAAAATATTGATTTTCGAAAATTCTAAACCATTTCTAAGAAAACTGGGGTTTCCCCATATAAAATACATGGAAAACTTTGTGTGCTTTGAGCGACCTCTAAATAGTTTTTGAAAAAAAAAACAGGGGTATTATTTCGGTACATTTCGGTAAATTGGTCGGTCAATTGCTTTCAAACTATTTTAGAAGTGGTCCTGGGTAGTAGTCCCTGAAGAAATAATAAGTTGGGTACTTGAAGAGCAAATGCTCGAGGCCTTCTGTTTGGCCAAGATTGCACTGCGTACATAACGCATTTGGGTCTATTTTGTAAACCAGGCCTGTGATACAAAACCTTATGTGATACTTCGTGGGCAGCCGAACTTGAGCTAAAATTTTACTCAAAATTTGACTTAAGTACTTATCCTTCGTTGCAAGAATAAATGGAGTACATTCAGATTACAGATACTCCGCACTTTCAGCTCATTCACAATTGAAACATGCAGTTTAACCACTTTGCCAGAAATCCCTCAAAAGGTGAGGAATTCTTCACTGTTCGCAAATAATTTAGTAAAGGTACTTAGCCACTTTGCAAAGATTTCTTGTTGCCACAATGACACACAATTCACATTGATATATGAGTTGCCATTTCTCCTTGCTTACAAACATTTTCTTAAATTTTTTTCGCGAGCAACGTAGTCTTAAATATGAGCTCAGTGTACCGAATGTAAGTTTTGGTTCCAAAAAGTCGGAAAAAGGTACAATTGTACCTACTTTTCCATCTCTGGCTCAGCGTAGAATCGTGTTCATATAAAAATTGAACTCTGAACGATGATAAAAATAAAACGCCCAAAACTATATACTTGTTTCGCGATTTCCTTGAAAAAATCAAACTTCTCTACGACACGACGACATCCGTTAACTGTGAGCGTAACTTAACATATTGCACTGAAAAATTGCTCGCTGGATTTAAATTTACTGCACTGTGACCATTTAGGCAGATTAGATTTTCAATTCAATCAGTCGAGTCACAATTCAATCGTTCGCAATGAAATTCAAGTTTTCGTTACTATCTTTTATGTTATTGGCATTCTTCGTCAGTACATTATTTGACAATACTTACGCGTCCGTTGAAATTTGTTTCGTAAAAAATAGCAAAACCGATAATAGGACTTTCGTCACAAAAAAGGTTACTTATGATGAAGCGCGTACGGTTCTGCAACTTTCGTCAAACGACATTTTCAAACACAACGGCCGTGTTATCGAGCGATCAGAAGAGGAAGAACTGTTAGTGAAAACAAGAGAGTGTAATGAAATTATCACCAAAAATGAAAAATCTTCGATCGAAGTTTGCATTTCCGAAGATCAATGCAAAATAATCATTTTGAAGAACAGCGCAATGATAAACACCTTGCGCGACAAGTTGATGGATGCTTTACCGGAATATTATGGTAACGAAAATTGTGCCAATATATATTTTGTGACTAAGGAAGATCACGCGATCCCTCGTTCTCAAGAGATGAATATACCTTATCAAAATATTGTTAGAAACGGTGGTATCAAAGCATACAATAAATTGATCGATAATAGAACCGCATTAGATATCACGTGGCTTTTGTCAAGTCATCAAGTGCGAGTGAACATGCTTATGCCACTAAGTAATTTGCGATATTGGATAACGAAACCGAGCGCCTGTCCTAATTTGAAAGATAAATTGGATTTACCCATAAATCCATTGTTCCCAAATGCTAGCGACGATTTAGCACAAAATTGGCTAGCTAGAGATAGATATGCGGAACTCAATAAAGTACCAAGTGCTCATTTAGTGAGTAGTCAATTAGTGGCACCGTACAACCAAGAAAAATTGTTGCCTATAGAATCTTATTCTTATAAAATTGAATCGTCGCAAATTCGAAGATTATACTACGTTGACGTTTCCGAAACAAAAAAACCAGCTTTCACCGGATCGCGAACCGATGCATTCCATGGTAATTATTTAACAGTCAAAGTATTTACTCGCTCGCCAAAAGACAGTATTCTTATACCGATGAAAGATGTTCGGTCAACCAACAACCGAGCCGTACCCTGGACAAACGTCGTCATAGCATTAAACAATACGCCAGTCATTATAAATGTAAAATGGGATAATCATCAACCTGGTTATGCATACCGGTGCGATTTATTTGATTTTCGTGCAGGATATCAACAACATAAATTGTATAGTCATGTGAGCGAAAATGGCATTTGCGACTTCCGTTTTTATGAAGATCCAAATACTGAAGTCCATCATGATTTGATTTTCAATAAAGAAGAACTCATCGAAAATGGAGAAGATCTATCTAAATACCGATACGAAATCGGAGTGGCGATGTATCCTCATCGCCCTGATCATTATAGGTGTCATCCAATCCGAAAAAGAGAAACGGATGCCACTGGTAATATTGACATAAATCGCGATCATATCACAATGGGTGGAGCAGGGCAAGGTGAGAGTACGAACCATCGGTTTATAGAGATTTGCAAGTTGTGGGACAAGGACGCTGAAGAAAATAAAAGATCATTGCATTTCAACGTATTTATTTTTAGATCCCAGGAAATTGCTGAAAAAATTATCGAAGATATTCCCGTATTTTAAACATTTTTCGAAACACTCTTTCCTTAATACGTTTTTTTTCTTTTCTCCCAGTGTGCTGAGGTTTGCGCACGATGAAATTAGTGTACAAAACAATCCCAATTACTTTTAAAATACTTGATGAATTAAAATAAAAACACATTTTATTAACAGAAATGCAGTTCATGTTTACATTTACTATAAATAAGTGGTTTTTAATAAGCAAATTTAACTTTTACCGAAATACCTCAAATTTTGCCGTACACTGTAAAGGTGTATTCAGTAATTTTTGTTGTTGGAAAAATCATTTTTTTTAATTTTAGTTGTTTTAGCAACCTCTTTTGTACCCCTCATAACTCTTGTTACCAGAGCCCAATACCGTCAAATAGGCCTGAGCTCACTGAGGTTCGGTGGACTCGCATTAGTGTTGGAAAACGATCGGTGGTGTATCAATTCGATTGTTTCGATAGTGATAGTGCAAAATATTCGATACTATCGAAAGATTTCTTACATATGTTGAGATATAACACTAACGCCCGGTTTCACCAATCAATTTTAAAATGTATCAAAAATAAAATTTTAAAATGGCACAATCTCCTAAAAAATTTTGTCATTTTAAATTACAACGGTCTGACAAATTTAAAATTGATTGGTAAAACTGGGCATAACATTTTGTAAATAGGCAAAAGGTATGGTTCGAGAAAAATTTGTCAAGTGATATGACAGATCCAATCGCCTGTAAATTTCTTCGTTTCTTATTTTACTATATAATACTTCGTTTATGCGGCAGAAATTAAGTGCTTTGAAAAAGTGGCTGCGCACTAGCGAAAAACTAAACAGTAGGGTTGTGACCTTTTTGGCCTTCTTTTCAATTTTCAAAAGCCGTTGGTACTAGGAAATGGTCCATGTTATATTTAAATTACGGGGTTTTAGCTTTTTCCCTTATACAATATAGTAATACACATTAGAAGGCCATCGAAAATGTTTTTTTTTTTTTTTTTAATATTCCTTGAAGATTCTACCCCCCCAATTACCTTCCTTTTTATGAGAAATATTATTGCCTATTTTTTTCAAAAGTCATTTAGAGGTCGCAACTTGTCATTTTACAACACTAAGTACGGTTTTTTAGATTCATCATTTTTTGAATGACTAGTTTTCATTCAATTTTAAAGATCGAACATATTGTGAGAAGAGGATTTATAGGCCTTTAAGAGGATGCATAATAATCTATTGTCAGACTGGGATTGTTGGAAGTTTTCGTTAGGCAAATAAAAATAATTTTTTTTGTTAAGTTAATTTTTTTAAGTTTTGACCATCACTGACAATTGTCGAAGTTAGGCGACTTTTCTTAAATACGGCCTTGAATTTATATTATGTATGTACAGGACTTTCAGATTTTTGGAGCAGTGTGGCTAAGGAATTCATCAATATTTATTCACAATTGATATACGTTTATAGTAATTATTCGACTCCAGCGCCGTTTTAAGTTGAGAACTTAAATTATACAGAGGCCCACAAAAACACAAAAAAAAAATGTATTATCTATCGAACGCTTGAGTGCACTGTACTTTTTCCGCTACTTTTCTTCCCGATATATTTGGATTTTTCTAAAAAAGTGCTACAATGTTCTTGGCTTCATTCGTTCCTTTTTTCTTGTTAACAGCTTGATGTCTTCCTTGACACGTTTGCTTTTTTAGAGATGATTTCGAAAAGCTTATTGGAGTTTTCCTTAAAAAATCTAACAATGTCTTCTCGCTATTTTATTTCTTTACTCATTTCGAAACCAAAACTTATCTGAATGCCTTAAAACTTTGCATGCTAATTTTTGTACATTTA